TCTCAACTTGTTAATTAAATAATAATCATTTCGATTTAAAAAAAACAATTATTATTATTATTATTATTATTATTATTAGTCGTACAATAAGTGTACGAAATTATTTTCTAATTCCACGATGGAAAAAACGTTTTATTATTTCCACGTCGATGTGAGTTACAAATAAAATTTTGTTTCGCCGTGTGTGTGTTTAAATAACGCGATTAAACGAATCCATGTAACAATCATTTGATTGTTGTTTGTTTGTTTGCGTGTTTCAACAAACAAACAACCGAAAAACAAATTTTATTTTTAAACAATCTAGTTTTTTAACCCGAATAAAAAAAAATAATCTCTGTTGACTAAAATCTTGAAATCTTTAAAAGGTTTTCATTTCTTTTTCATTTAAATTGTTTGTCAAAAAGGGGAGGAAAAGGAACAAACAACAAACAACAACAGAAAAAAAAGGAAAAATGGAACATTTGCTGTAGAGTAAAGTGGTATGAGAAAAAAAGAAATCCTCGTCGTCGTTGTTGTAAATCGAATAAATTGAAAATAAATCAATTTTATACATTTTTTTTTTTAAAATGTTGGAACCATTTTCTTTCCTCATGCGATTAAATTATAATTTTAAATGTTAAAAATCTTTTCTAAACAAACAACAAACGTTTGTTGTTTGTTTAAAAAAAAATTTTCATTTTATTAAAAAAATCAATATTTCGAATTAATTCAAATTAAGTAAAATAACAACGATTTAAATTAATTTTTTTTTGTTTATATTTTAATTTAATAAAATTTTTTTAAACGTGGAATTAGAAAATTTAATAATTATGATTTTCGAAAATTCATAGAAATTTTTAATGAATGAATGAATGAATGAATTTTATCCTCACGTGGGTTTTTTTTTTTCAAACTTTAGTTTTGTTAAAATTTGCCGTCCGAAAATATTTTCACGCATGAAATCCGCGGCGTCTTTTTTCTTCTCCCACGTTTTTCGACCGACTTTACGATTATATTTTAATAATTTAAATTTTTTTTGCGACTTATCATTTCCATAAGAATAAATAGATGGAGAGAGAGAAAGATAGATAGAGTGCGTCTTTAAATTGGTCATCCCTGCTGCCACGACTCAAAACATTTTAAAACGCATTAGGCATATGAGTTTTAATCCGGAATTTTCTCAAGGTAGTTTTCTACTTATTTGAGAGATTATTTTTAAATTTTTTATTTTGAGAATCGACATTCCTTTTTTTTTTATTTTGTCGCCAATGGTTCTTCCTTTGGCATTTTCCTTTTAACAAATATTTAATCCTTATTGTAGCGAAGGGTTAAAAATGTCTCTTTAAAAAAAAAAAAACATTTTTCCTTTTTTTAACATTTTCCTTTAAGCAATTTATGTATAAAAAAAAGAAATTTTTTCCATTTAAAATTTTTTCCTTTGTTTTCTATCCATTAATAATAATAACCGGAAATTCATTACGACTTGTATTATTTTTAACTACAATTAAAAAACTTTTGTAAAACAAAAAAAAAAAAGGAAATGTAAAAAATCATTATCGGGAATAAAAAAAAAAAAAGGAAAGGAATTTGAAAAAAAAGGAAAACTGTCAAAGGAATGAACGCAATCATATTTCTTTCTCTTATCGACCTTTTTAAAAATACAGTTAGAAAGGAAAAAGATAAGAAAAAGGAAAAAGGAAAAAAAAAAAAACCGTTTTGGGACATCGAAACTCGTTTGTTTCTGATGCGTAATGGCCCGTGTAATGAGCATCACTTGCCAATTTTATCTAAAATGGCATTTTATATATAAACGTGGGATTAGAATAAAAGAAAAAGGAAAAAAAAAATATTTTTAAATCTTTCCGGCTATTTTCTATAACATTAAAAAATTATTTTTACCTTAAATCGTTTTATTACTTCCTTTTCCGGTTTTTATCATCAAATTTAATTTTTCCTTTTTTTCAAATAATTCTATTTACACGATTATTTTCATCGTTCGTAGTTTTTTATTTTCTTTCTGAAATTAAAAAAATTTTTTTTTTAAAAAAAGCGTTAAACGTTTTAAAGAAAAATTGAAAATTAAACATCGTGGAAGGAAGAAAAAAAAAGAGAGAAAAAATTTTTTTTTGTTAGACGTGTCACTAACAACAAGGGATGCCAATTTCAAAATGAAAAAAAAAAAAAAAAAAAATTTCCCTTCCGATTTAATCGTCGATATGTTTTTTTCCCTTAAAAGTCAAGGAACCTTGAAATTAAAAATTTCCTTTACTTTCCTTTCCTTTCCTTTTCCCCGACATGTTTTTTTTTTGTTCTTTTTTCATTTCCGTTTCCGTTTTCCGTAAATTTTTCCTTTTTCTATTTTTTTATTTTCCTTTTTAAAAAAAATTATTAACTGTTGATTCCGATAGATTTTTCAATTTAATATCCATTCGTTAATTTTTTTTTTTTTTAATGTTAAACTTGTACCTTTGATTTCTTTCCTTTTTCCTTTTTTTAATTTTGTCTTCTGCTTTTCTTTTTTCCCGGACTTGATTATTCGTCATTAAAAACTGCAATTATCGTGGAAATTATTTTTAAAAACAAATAAAAAATTATTTGATGAAATTCATAAACTGTAAAATTAACAATCTTTTTTTTTTTACACAATTATTATTATTATTTAAATTGAAAAAAAAAAATTAATGACGTCACTGAACCGGAAATAAAAACATTTCAATTTTTTTTTTATTATTATTTAATTTTAATTGTACCGAATAAATTATTATATGAGAGAAAAAAAAAAAAAACAACTTACACGACAATTAAATTTCCAAACGGTCGCCATATTTGTTTACATATTCGCATAAATTTTTTTCATTAAACGTGGCAATAGAAAGATGGAGGGGAGAGGAGTGGGGATAGGAAAAGATATGCGTGCGCAATTTTATCGTGCGGGTTTTTAAATAATAAAAAAAAAAAGAGAAAATAATTATTTGCTCAAAGTTTGTTTGTCGGCCGGCCCGCAAAAACAACCGGGAGTTCGGGGGGAGGAGCCGACATCCCCGGGGGTTGGAAAAGCGATGGGGAGGGGGCAGGAGGAGGAAGGGGGAAGGGAACGACGGCGGCGGCGGCGGGTAAAATAAACAAAAGATTTAAATCAATAGTAATTTGTAATGTAAACTCTGTAGCGGGCTGATAATTGACATTAAATACTGCGGAGGTTTCGTTGGCCAAACAATAATTTTGATGGATCGTTTTATTTTCAATTACAAAACCTTTTGTACGAAGAAAATATTTATAATATCCGCGCCACTCTCCCCTCCTTCCTCCCCCACATTATTCCCACTTATTCATCTTTTATAAACTACCCTTGATTTGTCTGCCATCTTTTGTTTGCTTACACTCAATAATAGTTAGTAAAGGGTGAATTTCTAATCAAATTAATCTTATATTTTGAAAAAAATAAATAAAACCTATTTATTTTTCTCTCTGTTTATCTTCGTTTCCTTTTTTTTTTTTAATTACAAAATCATTCGTATCGTGTCAGGAGAAAAAAACCCTTTAACCGGTCCTGAATAATTTTATATCATTTCAACACAACAAAAATTTTTATTTTATTTTTTTTCTCTATATCTCTATTTCTCACTTCGTCTACACATTTCATTTTATATTTATTACGCCGTTCAAGAAAAAAAAAAAAAAAAAAAAGGAAAAAAAAGTTTAAAACCGCAGCAATGCTACCACGTTTCATTTTTCTACACCCTCCCCTCCCACCCCCTGCCTCCCCTCGTGTACACCCCTCTCAAACCGTTCGGCAAACTTTTTTTTTTTTCTCTCTTGGAAAATTCACTACTCCTCTCTTCTCGCCTACGCCACCACCTCACTTACTCTTTCCTCGCGGTTGCCCCCCATTCTCCCTCTTCCTCCCCCGGTCGAAACGAAAAACTTATCCCGACCGACAGCACAGGGAGAGAGAGAGAGAGAGAAAAAGGCATTTCGAAAAAAAAAAAAAACAGGATTTGATCTTCGACAGGAAAACTTAAATTCATTGTTATGAAACACGTTTGACTTATTACCGCCTCCGACATCTTTCATTAAATTTTAAAAACGATTTTTTTTTCTCCTCTCTCTCTCTCTCTTTTACTTCTTTTTCTCGTTTTTACCCTCATTCACTCTCTCTCTCTCTCTTTATCATCTCCTCTAGAATATCTTTGAGGCGTAAATGGCATTTTAAGTGAGACTAAAAAAGTGGAAAAAATACAATTCAAGTTAAAAAAAAAAAAACGGAAAACGGAAAATGTTAACCATTTTCTTCTTAAGAATCCGCCATTTTATTTTAATTTCTTTTCCTTTTTTATATAAATCAATTCTTTCGAGATTTATTCTTTCAATTTTATTCCGTTTTTTTTGTCTTTCTTTCCTCCCACCGCCCCCCCCCCTACCCAACCATCCATCCAACCTCCTTCATTTTTACACGTAATAATTTTAGGTAAAAAAAAATCATTCGCTTTCCTAAAAAAATTATTCAACAACCACAACAGCAGAAGAAGAAGAAGCAACAGCAACAGGAACAACCCCTTTTACTCCGGGGGAAAAAAAAAAAAAGGAAAATGTTTAAGGGAAATTGTGTTAAATCTCGAGCATTACAAAAATAAGAAGTAAATACTTTTTGAGTATTATCAAAAATGTTTTTCTAATTAAAGGGATAAAACTTTGGTTTTAAGTGATAACATCATCATCTTAAAGGGTTGCCTCAGATTTTTTACTTCCCTCCCTCTCTCTCTCCCCCACTCCCCCACTCTTTCCCTCTCTCTCTCCTCTTCCTCCCTATTTTAATTTTTTTTCTCATTCTCCTATCGTTTTAACAATGATAACAAAACCAATTTTTTTTTTTTTTTCCTTTCTAATTTTAAATAAATAATAATTTCTTTTTTTAAAATAATAATAATAATAATAATAATAATAATAATAATAATAATAATAATAATGATTATTAAAAAAAAAATAAAAATGAATTCACGGTGATGATAACGATAAGAGGTTCATCCGCTTTTAAACCTTAACAAAAGAGCGCTAAAACTTATTAGGATTCCAACCCAAAGTACGGACACCCCATAACCGACGGCAACCTGATAATTTTCAAAATTCCAACCCCTTTCCAAAACGTTTCTCATTGCTTGTGTGGCTAAAGTTGTTGGAAGGCAAAGTGATATCCATCGTAGTTTTTCCGGCATACCTTCGAGAGGCCAAATGGAACCTTAAAATCAAAAATTATTATTATTATTATTATTGCTGTTGTTTGTATTTGAGCGCGAAATTCAAAAAAAAAAAAAAAAAAAAAATTTACCGCTTAAAACGATTATGGGTACGAAACTTCCCATTGATACGTAATTTGACGACATGACGGTGTCGCAATAAACGGAAATGGAAAAACCTGAAATGATAATCGTTTCCGTTACTTCGATGAACGAGAATAATAATAATAATAATAATAATAAAGGTAGAGAGCTTGGTTGTACCCGTGCACATTCCACAGAGTCCTTGAATGAGCAAAAGAAGTAAAACGGTTAGAAAACTTCCATTGCACTGAAGTCCGAACAAACCGAAACTGGTTAGCATGACTTCGAGAGTTTGGAGTATCATAACCAAACCCTGGGTCAAAAGGTGAGATATTAATATTTCCGTTGTCGTTACACCGGAAACGAGAGTTCGATCCCAAACTCCTTCATCTCTTTCCGTTATTATGACAATCGACGTCACCGTGACGGCCAAAAAGAAAATAAGCCTTAAAAGAAAAAAATCTTCTTTTTTAAATACGATACTGCCATCTATCGATCAAAATATAAACTTTTACGTGGAGTAAAACAGTTATAATTAGTTAAAAAATATTACAACAGATGTCAGTTTAACGAGTTTTAATCCGTCGGTTGTATAGCATGTTGTCGGGTCTTTTGTAAAAAATTTAATTAATTAATTAAAAAAAAAATAATAATAATAATAAGACTCACGTAACAATGACTCCGGGAGCAATGAAGGTACCATAATTGGAAGAAAAACTACCGTAAATCGGAGCGTGAAAGGTAACCGGTATGGTTGCCACTTTAGGATTCATACCGCAGTCTTTCAAAATTTCCTTTGAAAAATTGAAATACGATTCGTACATTTGCTGTTGTATTAAATAAGCCGTTTGACCGTTTGTCATATCCAGCCATATTTTTATTTCGTGACTGTCTAATATGGGATCGTCGGCATCTTGTCCTAAATCTAATCTTGCCGTAAATGATTCCGTAAAGTTACTCGCAAAATACAAGACCCCCACCAGACGTCCTTCTTTCACCGCTTGTTTCGCCGTGTCCAAGTCATTGAAGTACACGTAATCGTTCTGTAAAATAATTCCACGTTTTTAAAACTCCTGCAAACCCTCAAATGATATGAAAACGTACACTTGTGCCTTCGAACCTTAACTTCCAGGCTGTCGTAGAAATTAATTAAAAAATGACAACTCAATCCTGTAAATTCGCAATCGGTATCCGTGTATATGACTCCCGTTGGTAAATTCGCCGAATAACTTTCACAAGTTGAAAAATTACCCATTTCTTCGTTAACGATACCGAACCTTAAATTTTTAGGATTACCTCCGATCGTCATAAAAAAAGTTATTATTTCTAAAACCGGAAGTATAAACGTAAATCCTAATCCCCTGCACGCAAAAAAAAAAAAAAAAGAATTCAATCAAACAATTTTTAAACTATAAAAAAAATTTTTTTTTTTTTTTGTAAAGTTTCTCACCCTGGATGCCTGATAACCCTAAGAATATTTTTAACAAGAAGAGCTTTAGCTCTACCAAATCTCGTAGATTTATTTTCATATGCATAATTTTGTTTGAAAGACTTTTTTTGTTTTTCCGGTTTCGATTCGATTTCCACATCCTGTAAGAGAAGAAAGAAAATTTTTTTTTTTTTAACAAAACCGTTACGACGATAATAAATTTTCCAGGCATATCCAACACGAAACCTTAGTCTCATATCATACTTCACTTCTTGTGACGTCATTATTGTACTCGTAATCCCGATTTCCGATTGTATTTCCATCCATGGTGAGAGAATTTCCCATGTCTTGTTTTGAGCTTAATAAAAGGAACACTTGCTCTATTGTCGAACATCTGTATTTGGCGAGTAAAAAACCTGGAGAACCTTCGTCTAAAAGTTTACCATTTCGCATTAGGCCAATCTGAAAGAGAGAGAGAGAGAGAGACAGAGAATGATTTATTAACTCCAACAACAATGTTTACAAAAATTTTCCATTTTTCTAAAATTAAAGGCTAATGCCACGTTAATTATCTTTGTCTAAACGTTGTCGTTTCAATTATCATTTCTATCTCGGCGCCATCGAAGGTACGACGCAAAAAAAGGAAAAAAAATTCTTTTGCGACAAAGGAAAAAAAAAATTTTGTCGCCTTGAACGTTAAAACTTCTTCTTCTTCGGACTCATTTTACGACTTTTTGTTTTTCTCATTCGTAGAAAAATATAATCTCGTGGTAAAAATAATAATTACACAAAATCTGATGAAAAATTATTATTATTATTTTTGACCATAAGATGAATATCTTAATTTCGAGTCGTTTAAATATAATTTATTGCGAAAATTCTTCTTCCACGTCAAAAACGTTCTTAACGTTCGCAAACGTAATAATATTTCCTTTCTTTAATTTTTTTTTTTTTTTAAATATAAAATCAAAAAAATTTTTCAGTTCAAGGACGACGAAATTTTGTGTGTGTTTGTTTGTTTGTTTGTTTTTGTTGTTGTTGTTGTTGTTGAACTTGCGTCGGGTTGATTGCAACAACAACATTCAATGTCGACTAGTAGTGCATCTGGTGAAACCTGTCCGTCCATGCCCGTGAAATGTTGCAATACCATCATAGCCCACCGTCGCATTTTGATTATTTTTTTTTTCTTTTTCTCCTCCCCCCTCCCCCCATCAATTCCAAAAAATAGTTCCTGAATCTTTTGACCCATACCGTATACATGACGCATTCGTATAAATTATTATTATTATTATTATTATGCTTTGTTTAAAGGTCGTTGCGAACGTTAAAAAAATTAAAAATAACCGAAACGAATTTTATCTGATAGAACGTTTAAAGCTCAAAAAGTCATTTTTGAGCGAGAGAGCGAGCGTGTCTCCTCATCATAACTACTATTAATTAATTACAAACGCGATAAATCTCCATAAAAATTAATCACCACCACCTCCTCCTCCTCCTCCTCTTCCTCCTTCTCCTCCTCCTCCTCTTCTTCGTCGTCGTTAAAAAAAAGAATTTTAACAGTTTTGTAGGACAGTAAAAAATTGTTTTCGTAGCCAACAAACCAACTACACGACCATTATTATTATTATTATTATTATTATTATTATCATAAAAAAATATTTTGCAATTTTTTTATGTTGCGACAAACATAATTTCAATTCCCCGACTTGATTTCACACACTTGGTCGATGGCAATCAAATTATTTTTAGGCGTTACCGTTTGTCGTTAACGAATATCGTTACGTATACCACGAACTGGAGAAAACAAACCCCCCTTCGGGAGGGGGGGAGATATCTTGGAAAAAAAAAAAACGACAACGATGAGAGAGAAAACTCCATTAAAACAATGATGATGATGATAATTTGTCCTT